ACACCACTCCCCACCAAAAGCAGCCTCATGCACGCACCAAAACCAACAGGCTCCCTCTCAAGCCAGGGATTTTGATGAAGGCAGTGAGAGCAGGACCACACACAGGGCACATGAGGTGAGTCTTTGTGAAACTGGCCTGTGTGATGGCCAAGGGGTGTCAGGGTGAATCCTTCCCTGCCTCGGGGTCCCAGGGCACCTCCCTTCATCTCCACAGAGATGGAAATCAGCCTTCCCCATCCTGGAGCCCTGGCAAGGACTGGGCTTTGCTGGGCACTGGTACCAGGAGGCATCAAGCTTTCCCAAGCCCTCCTAACACAAATAAAAAAGAGGGATTTGAACCAGCCAACAGAGATGGACCTGAAGCAATCCCAGAGGGAGTATATTTTTATAAGCCAGGGCTATAAGAGAAAGGGCAGGAAACCTGACCCATCACAAATCACTCTGCTGTCGCTTGCTGTAATCTAGAAATGCTCTATTAAAAACAAGAGCAGCCCCAGCTGACAGAATGGAGGCCAGGGAGGAGGGCAGCTCGGGCTGGGATCTGGCTGCCAGGGAGGTGCAATCTCTGAGGCTGGGAGTGCTGCTCTGCTCTCCTGTGGGTGATGGAGCTGCCCGTGGCATCTGTCACCTGCAGCCAGCACATGTAGGTGGGGGAGATGTGTCCCTCCCTGGGCTCAGTCACTAAAGGGCCCGGGACACAGCTCCATGATTCCAGTTTGTCCCCAAAAATGCACTCCTTGAACAGGGCAGGGGCAGGCAGGGCCCTGAGTGCTCAGTGGACTGGATCTGGTGCTAATGGTTTTGGGAAGTTGCCTCCTCTTCCCTGAGCTGTGGCCATGGTGCTGTGAGACCCTGTGGCCACCACTGCAGCAATAAAACTTCAGCTAACAGTGATTCACCTGAAAAATGAGGTTCTGGGGCAACAGGAGCACTTTGCCAATGCAGCACAAACTGAGGCAATAATTACCAGGGGAGCAAAAATTATTCAAGGGTATTGAAGCACTTGAGGGCTTCCAAAAGGTGGTTTGGTTTTTTTTTCCCCTTGGGAGATGCAGATTCCCATTTACTTTGAGGTTTTCTGGATGAGATCTTTGACAACATTTTAACGCTTTCCATTTTAACATCTTCCATGTCCAAACCCAGCTGCTCTGATCACAGGACATGGAGCAGCTCAAGAGGAGGCAAGAAGCACCTGAGAGAGGAGTGGGAGTCTCCTCCCTCCCTCCTTCCCTGGCTCCATCAGGGTCTCACAGCCACAAAACCTATTTTGTCATGTCTCTCTCCCTTGACAAAACCAAATGTCCTGGACCACCTCCAGCTCCAAGCACTGGTCAAAAGGTCTGGTGATGCCAGGAATGTGCTGGACACGCGAAGAGCCTGGGGCAGGGTGTGGTGAGTGCCCCCAGCCCAGCCCCCTCTGAGGCCAGTGCACAGCAGCTTGCTCAAACAAAGCCCATCTGTGCAGATTAATTACCAGACGATGTTTGCTCTGGTGCAGAAGCTGATTGGCTGGTGGAAGTTTAAACAGGATGGAGAAGGGAGAACGGAGCACGGTGTCCTAGAGATGGAACACAGCCTCGGGTCCCACCCAGAGTCAGATCCCCATGGCAGCACCCCCTGAACCCCAGGCACTGTGAGCACCTCACTGGCACAGACACAGGGGGTGGCAGCCCCAGAGAGCCACCAGCCCCAGGACAACCTGCCCTGCAGGTTACGGGGACACAAAATGAGCTGTCCATACACAGAGAACAAAATCCCTGTCAGTGTTCAAAATCCAGGGAGTCCTGTCAGAGACAGCCCAGCAACAGCCCCAGGAACAGCCATGGAACAGCCTCTGGTGAGATGGGGAAGGACAGAGCAAGGAAATCCCTTTGCACAAACAGTTCCTACAAAAGCAGACTCCTGCTCTGGCCCTGCTGCCCAGTGGGGAAAAAAAGCCCTGCTTGGGGCTGGAGAACATTTCTGCACCCTGAGTCCCTTCAAGCACTGAGGTGACCCCCAGGCCACCACATCCACTCTTCCCTTCACTGCCGGGAGCAGATGAGGAGCCCAGACCTGGAGAAAAACCCCCAGATTTCCTCCTAACCCTTCCAGGTCCCACGGGAGATGGCTGCTTCATCCCCTGAGCCTCTAGAGCACTTCCAGCAGAGCTGGGCTGCTGTAGATCACTGCTTTGAACCTCCAAATTACTTTCCTGGCAATCAAAAAGCCTTCTGGAGCTCAGTGGGAGGTGAAACAAGGCTGGAGCAGCTGCAAAGGCTCACCCATCCCATCCCATCCCATCCCATCCCATCCCATCCCATCCCATCCCAGACTCACACTTAGCTCCTGAGATGGCTCCTGGAGCTCTCCTCTTGCTCCTACCTCCCAAGCACTGTTGGAGGAAGTTTCACCTCTTTGGAGCCAGCCCTTTGGAGCCAGCCCTCACCACCCTCTTCTGCCTCAGGAGCCCAGAGGAGACCAGCACACCTCCATTCCTGCCCTGGGCGAGGCTGAGGAGCTGGGGAACATCAGCAGCTCGGAGAGAACGTTCCTCCAGATGAACCCAGAGCAGGGAAAGGGCTGGGGAAGGAGGAGAACCTGCCTTCAAGCCAGCAACGCTTGCTCAACCACTGGTTAGTGGCTGCACAGGAAACACCTTGCCATGCTCACCTGGAAAGACATGTTCCCAGTGAGGCAGGGCGGGCAGGGAGGGGACGGGAGGCTGCAGCAGATCCACCCCTTGGCACATGCAACCTCCTCTTGGCCACTGCTGGTGGGGAGAGGAGGCTGCCAGCAAGTCCTTTGTGCAGGATGGGCTCTGCTGTGGCCATTCCTGAGGGTGAAAGGGTTCTCTCATCCAGGACTGATCCAGCCTGGGCTTGCTCTGGTGTCTGGTGTTCTAACACACCTTTGTGCTCCTCAGTTTTATTTCAGAATGAAGCTGTGAGGTGACACGTGAGGCTTTTGGAGAAATGCTTCTCTCCAGGACCAGGATCTGCAGGTTCACAGCTCCAAGCCAAGCTATGGCTGGTTAAAAGCAAGGCTGAAAAATGGGTGGACTGTGAAGATGTGTTCAAGGCCAGGTGGGACAGGGCTTGGAGCAACCTGGGACAGTGGAAGGTGCCCCTGCCCATGGGAATGAGATGATCTTTGGGATCCCTTCCAACCCAAACCATTCTGTGATTAATTCAGTTCCTCTAAAGTTTGCTTGACCTTTAGGGCGTGCACAAATCCTGGGGGTGTCCAGAGGTAAGTGTTGGGAAGGACCCCAGAATTCACCATAAGCCCATCTGGACACCTCAGCACTAGAGAACCTCCCAAGAGAGCTGGCTGAAGGTGTCACAAAGGACTGGGGACAGCAGAAAGCTGGAGCAAGAGGTTGGGACAACATCGTACCCAAACAGGTCTTGCCTACTTTGTGGAGAACAACCCAAACCTGCCTGTTAGAGTCATGGCAGAGCTGCTGGATGAGAAGGAGCAGCCACCCAGGCTTGTCCCAGCATGGAGCTCCTCCATGGCCACCTTCTGCTGCCAGCTCTCATGGACAGGTGCTGGATGAGCCTACCCTGCTCCAGGACACAACGCCCATGGATCTGCCATGGACGCCCCTGGGAGCACAGGGCATGGCAGAAGGCTCCATTCTCTGCCAGGAGAAGGTTACTCAGAGTAAAAGCATGTGCTCGTGTGTCATACAAACAAACCCTGCGTCCTCCTCCCACCACAGTCCCCGCAGAGCCGGGCGGGATCTCCAGGGCTCACCACAGCCACGCCAGCCTTTCCCATCACACCCCTCCGAGGTGGCTCCACCACCTCCCTCAGAGCTGGGGCACGGCCTGCAGGAGAGGAGCCCTACACGGACGTGCCAGGAGCCATCACACCCCAAGGGATGGCTCTCTCAGCTGCCACCAGCCTTACCTTGTGACGTGGCACACGCCATCCCTTCCCCTGCCAGGCCCTGGTGGTGGCAGATGCTCAGAGCCAAGCAGCACAGCTCCACTGCCACCAGGGACACAGAGTCCCTGCCCATGATGAGGGGGTTGGGTCTAGATGATCTTAAGGTTCTTCCAGCCCAAACCATGCCACTATTCTGTGACTCAAAGCCATTTTCCAAAGTCCGGTCTCACCCTCCCAGGTGTTGGGTAATTTCCATGCTTAGACCCTTCTTCAGATGTTGTTTCAAACAGCTTCTGGGTGGCTGAACAAGGCCCACATCGTCTGCCTTCCCACACCTCCATGAGGCCCCATGCCTGCTCTGGTGCAGAGCCACGGCTGCTCCAGCCTCAGGAAGGCTGAGACATTAAGTGGGAAAACTGATTTTTCAGGGGACTGCACCAACACAGGTGAAGCAAAGCCCATCTTGGGAGAGCTGCAGCTCAAAGCAAGCCAGGAAGAATTTCTTTCCAGCCACACATGAGGGAAGGGGAGGAGGAGAACCAGGTGAAGCTGAGGATGAAGCATCATCTGCCGCGTGGCTTTGCAGGATGTCACCAGATTTCACAGCCCTGATCAAGTGGAGACCTCTCATTTGTAAACACACAAGGGTGTCTGGTGAAATCAAAGGGCTGTGGGCTCAGGGTGAAACACTCCCATAGCCATGAGTCAATCGGTAGCGTTGCTGTGGACAGGAAGCTGGTGAGTCATGGATCACAGCCAGGCTGGAGGTGACCACCCAGAGCATCCCTGTTATTTACAGCCACCACACTGATATGGGCAGAGAGACCCCAGCAGCTGCCCCAGGCAGGCAAGCACAGTGCATTGCCAGCACGTCACCTCCTGGGCACCCACTGCCCTCGTCTCCTGGGTCCCCAGCCTGGATTGCCAACCCAGAGCTGGGTTCTGGTGTGCTGGATGTGCCCCCTTCACCCAGCTAACACTCTCCATCCAACAGCCCGTCTCTGCTAAAGCCATTATTGCCAGCTGCCTAAATACAGAACTTCCCAAGCCTCTCCCTCCATGGGTTTTTTTCCACTTTTGGAAAGAAGCATATGGAAGAACAAACAGAGTTTGCAGAGGGATTTCTTACATAATTTATCTGTCAAGTGGCACCACGGAGATGCAAGAACTCTTGGATGAAGCCTTTCTTCCATCTTGAAGGTTTGGCTCTGCTGGCTTTGCCAGCCGGACCCCACCTGGATTGCTCAGGACTTTCCTCCCATCTCCACAGCCAGCCTTCATCCTCAGACTCATCCTCCATCCCCATCTGCACCCTCCTTTGAGACATTTGGGCTGTGCCTCACCAGCGGGGACGGAGCAGCTGCGAGCACAGCATGCAGAGCTGGGGGCCAGCAGCAGAGCTTGCCAAGAGATCCGAGGAAGGGCTGCTTGTGAGGAGCTGCCCTTTGCTTCGTGCCTCCCTTCCGACTGCGTGGTGCTCTCAGCCAAATACCATTAAAGGTTTATCCATACGCTGATCAAATTATTTGCCTCCAAAGCTGGAGCGAGGTCGGTCTCCAAGGGGAGAGGTGGTGGATGTGGCACCATCTTCCCAAACAACACAAGATGTGCGGGCACTCCGAGAGATTGGCCAGGACACTCTGGGAAGAAGTGGCGATGCCTTCAAAGTGGAGAATGGGTTGATAAGGGGGGAGTGGGGAGAGACATTTTAGCTCCTACTGGGTAATTATCACCCGTGGAAAGCTGAGGAATTAGCTGGTGGGAGGGAAATTACAACCTATCATAAAACCAATCTCTCCCAAATCCAGTCTCTTCAGTGCTCAGGAGTGTTTGGTCTGGTTCCAAGGCTCGGCTTCTGGAGGAGTTTGAGAGGTCCCTCGACAGAGCTCCAGCCCTCTGCAAAGCAGCCACCACATCCCTTTTGTTCGGAGGAGCAGGAAAACGGGGAAGGCGTCAGGTGAGGGGCTGGAGGAAAACAAACGGCTTCATTCAGGAGAACCAGTCCTGGTGAGACGAGAAGGGACTTAATTACAGTAAGTCCCTTTACAGCAAAACTGCCAGGTGCTAAAAGACTTTTTAATTTAGCAGAGAAAGGCAGATCAACGCCAAGCATCTGGAAGCCAAAGACAGAGAAAATCCAATTAAAAATCAGGCAATGCTGCGAGTAGAACAAGCTATGAAGTGATGGATTATTCATTCCACGATGTCTTCAATTCAAGAGAGGGGCAGAATAATCGATCCTCCCAGCACTTCCACACTGTTTATTGATGATGAGCACTCCAGCCCAACTTTTGGGAGCGTGCACATTCCAGGCCCTGACTTTGGCAAACTGCAAAGTTCCCATGGATGATGGAGGACAATCCACCAGCCCTACTAGGTAAGTTGTTTTATGCTTGGAGGCATTAATAACCCAGAACTAGCAGCCAACTCCATGGAAACCAACTGGTAGTCAGTGACAAGTTCTCCTGTTGCTATAGGAACAGGGCCCAAACAAATAAAAATTACCTATAATTTCTCCTCCCCAAAGTTCTCCCACATTACATTTCCATAGCAACTAATTAGCTCATTATTGATCAGAACCAAACCAGTGGAGGTGTGAACCAAGCCAGTGGACCAGTGGAAGTGCCTGGCTGCCATGGCCAGCTCCCTCCTCTCTCGTGGTGAGCTGGCAGGAGCCTTTAAGATGGTTTATGCTGAGTTTGAGAGGAAAGCCTTGAACACGAGGAGCTGGGGACCTCAGGGCTGGATTCCTTCATGCCTTCCCCAGGATACCTCTGATACAAATATCACTTGCTCCCTTCTATTTCTAGCTGTCACCTTACACCTCAGGGTTTTTTTATCTTGTTGTTCCTTTCCAGTCTCCCCCCGTCTCCTCCAGGCCCAGAGCTGCTCTCTTGGACACCTGCTTGTCTTGGCAATGTTCTCTCATCCTTCTGGCCAGGATATTTGAGTCTCTTGGCTTGCTGCTAGCTCTCCTGGACCAAGCCAGCACACTGCAGGGTCCTTGCAGGAGTCTCTCTTTCCTCATGAACACCCACAGCTACAGCCCTGCATCCTCCTCTGGCACTTCACTGCCTTAGATCTCCTCTGCCTCCACCCCTGGAAGTGTCCAAAGACAGACTGGATGCAGTTGGGAGCAATGTGGTCTAGTGGGATTTGTCCCAGGGCTGGAACTGAATGATCTGGAAGGTCCCTTCCAGCCCAAACCACTCTGGGATTCTCTGATCCAGGGAGATTGGGTGCATTAAACCACAGGGCTGTAAACCAGGTAAATTAGTCACAGCCACCTGCTCGATGGGAAAAGCTGCTGTGACACCCAAACCAAGGGAGGCAGAGCTGTGCAAGGTCAAGGAGAGTTCAGTTCAGTTCAGTCCACCAAGCCTCTGTCCAGGGAACCTGCAAACTCAGTGCAAGGTGATCTCCTGCAGTGGCAGCCCCACACCACGGTGCTGCAGGGGCTGGGTTGTGCTCTGGACCCTCATCTTCTCCTCCCCGTGTGCCCTGGGCCAGCAGCACTGGCACGGGGATGGGGCACACGTGTCCCTCCAGCATCTCAGGGGAAAGGTGAGGTCAGGGTGCAGGATATTGTTTTCATCTCAATCTGGGGGGAAATTCCTGCGTCTCAGCATACCCAAGGCCTTCCCTGCCATGCCCAAGCCCCTGGAAAGGACCAAGGGATGGAGGAGGGGCTGCTGCTTGCTCTGCCCCTCCTGTTTTGGTACCCCCAAAATCACACACACAACAAGCACCCCCGGAAGCACTTGCTGACAGAAAGGCATCTGGAGCAGGGGGCAGCACGGCTCTGCAAGGAATATTCCCCATCCCAGGGGCTGCACTTCCAGCTGAATTCATGTAAATCACCCATGAATCTCTGTAATTAATTGCTGCCACCTCACACATGGCAGATGTGCAGAGAGCTGAGCACATCCCTGCACAGACCCCAGGCAGGGCAGGGTGAGGCCTCAGCCACCACACACGTGTGTGAGCAGTGGCAGATGTGCAGAGCTGAGCACATCCCTGCACAGACCCCAGGCAGGGCAGGGTGAGGCCAGGCTGGGTACCAGGAGTGCTGGGGGATGCTGGATTTGCTCCAACCTTCGGCAAGGTGGAAGGTTTTGCCAAGGAAATTGCCTTTTTTTAACCAAAACCAACACAACCTGCGGGGTACACCCCCCACTGGGACATTCAGTTAATTCTCCTGTCCCCAAAATGTGACTGTCCCCAGAGTGGACAGAGCCTGGCTGCTGTGTCACTTCCCTGGTGTCTCATGAGGACCAAGTGGCACCACACAAGCCCCTGTCTCTCCTCCCTCCTCCACCAACCCCATTTCCATGTTCCCCATGGGAATCTGATTATCAGCAAGATCTCTGCCACCGTCAGATGTGATCAAAACCACAATTCAATTAAATGTGATTGGATTGAAAGCAGAGGGTTTGAAGGAGACAGGCAGTACACCCAGAGTGGGATGCCCAGGAAAGCAGGCTGGGATCTGCAGGATCTGCAAGATGGTCACCCCAGGTGAAGGAAAAGCCAGGATGCAGCTCTGACCCTGGGATGAACTCCTTCCTTTTGGGGCAGGAGCCTTTGCCAAGTCACTCATCCTCCTTCTGAAGGATCCTGGATAGAGTAAGGTGAGCCCAACCTCCTGAAGACGCTTTTAATTCTTTCTCATCTTCTGAAATCAAATAAAATTCCAAATGAGAAACTTTGTCATCTGAGCAACAGAAGAGGGAAAAAAAAAAAAAGCCCAGCCAAACATGCCTGGAGATGAAAGGGAATTGTAGATGGGTATTTCATCTCTTGCTCTTGTAAGGAACGTGAACATAAAAAAAGGGAGAAACAAACAAAAAATCCCAGACACGGTTAATGAGCTTTGCATTTAAATGTGCCACCAATGTCACTGCACAGACAGTTCCTCCAAGGTCCCACGTTCCTGCTCACCCCAGACAATGGGTTGGAGCAAACATTGGGTGAGATTAAATTCCACTGGTGTTTAGTAAATAAAACATGCATTTCGAGAAATCAGGGAAAAGTTTGTTAAATATTTTAGTACATCTGGTCTCCCCACCCGTACACGGCCTTACAAAATGTTTTGCATATTTATTTTAGCATGCACTAGATTTATTTAAAAATAGCATCACCAGCACTGGAAACAGCCCACTTGCTTTTCATCTAGATCTTTGCATTGAATCAATGAATCCAAAATTAAACAAGGTTGGGTGAACTAAATCTATAAAAGGACCTATTTGCTGATCAATACAGGAATGGATGCCTGGGATCTCTTTGCTGGGTGAAATATGAGGACTTACGAGAGAGAAATTGCTTTTGTTATTATATTTTTTTAAAAATTCAGATTTAATCTCCCCACATAAAAAAATTATTTATCAGAGAGATGCTTGGTCCTAAATAATTCATGCTGGTTGTATAGTACCCAGAAGACAGAAGACTCCTGTCTCCCATTCCTAATGAGAGGGAAAAACACCTCAAATACTTTTCTTGGATTCACTTTCATACTGCAGGGAGATTAAATTCTACTTGGCTTCCAGAGGGTGTCCTCCCCCAGGGCAGCAGAGCCCCCCAAAATCACAGAGAAACCACAACGCGCTGTGTATGGAAGGAGAAGAGCTTCAGACACATCTGGAAGCCAAATTTTAGTTACCAGTAAGAGACACCTGGCTCTGGTGTTGAGGTTCAAGGTATGACTTTGGTGCCCAAGGAGCCAGAACAAAGAAGGGTCTCCTGAAGATGCCATCTCAATAGAAATAAAACAATTTTTTAATATAAGATTATATATATATGTATATATATATGTATGTATTTATTTATTTATTTATAAATAGTCCATAATATAAATTCATCCTCTCCAAAACTTGGGAAACACAAGCTGTAAATGTCAGTGGAAGTTTCCCCTGGCCAAAAACAGGAACAGAATTTGGGCTGAAGTCTGTGGATTTGGAGGAAAAAAAAAAAATTTGGCCTTTTAGCCCATCTTGGGCACAAAATTTGGGGCTGGCTTTGGGAAGTGCCTTGCATGGCTGTTTGCTCAGCCAAGCCCTTTTCTCCTGAGCCTGCTGCAGGAATTGATCCACCAAGGGTGTACCTGCTCTGCTCTGAATAAATCTGCATATCAGCCTCTTCCATGAATGAAAAATGCATGCACCAGTAAATCTGAGGTGAAATAATACATCTGTTGTCAGCAGCCTTTTCCCTTTTTTCCTGCTTTTCTCTTCCACAAGTTTCATTAAGAAGAGACACATCAGCTGTGATAGAGCTGACACCACCAGCTCACTAATTGTTCCCGACTCTTCCCCGTTGCTGTGACGATGGATCTCTGCAGAAAGGGAGAGTAAAATCACCTCCCTGGGCTAATCCTGGGAGAAAACACGAGGACATGGCAGGGGATGTCCCCAGGCTGTGGGACACAGGGGTCCAGGGGTGTCCCACGAGCCCTGAGAGGTGCCAGCTGTGGATTGGGGTCCAATGGAGGGACCATTGGGGTCCATTCCCCCTGTCCTTCCTCTGGAGGACAGGAGGAATGGGAAACAGCTGCCCCTGGCCAGACACATCATGGATCCCAGGGACAAAACTCAAGGAACAGCCCAGCTTCACCTTCATCATCCACTCCTTCTCCAGATCAGGAGCTGGGCAAATCCAAAAAGGGTTTGGGCTGGTGGCACTGGGGCCATTGCAGCCCCACTGGAAGGGTTCCATGGTGGGAAAGGAGCAGAGGGACACAGTGCTCGGTCCCCACTCAGCTCAGATGATTTTAGCCTCGCCACGGGCAGGGCAAGGCTCCCCTCGGCATCACCAGGAGGGACAGTGACAGTGGCAGTGTCCCCTGTCCCCACACTGTCCCTGTGCTGTCCCTGCGTGGCCACAGTCGGGCTGGCAGCTTGCAGCACACCCAGCAACAGCTGCTGCCCGCTGGCCCAGATCGAAGATTTTAATTAAGGAGAAGATTTGGGGGAATAAAGGGGAAGATCTCTCTCAAAGCTGTAATTAAAGAAGCCCAGGGTGGGGCAGGATGATGACAGAGGACACGTCCTGCTGCTGCTGGGGCTCAGGGAGGGCAGACCTCCCATCACGGCCCTGGCAGGCAATGCCCCCCTCCCCGAGGGAAGGATCCCCCAAGTGCAGGTCACAGAGGCTGCCCTGCACCCCCCAAAACAACCCTGCAGTCTTGCCTGAGGTTCCCAAAGGGCAATCGGGTGCTGCAGCCCACAGCAATCCCAAATTCCTGTGGATCCACTCTGAGTTATGGCAAAGACGAGGGAGAGGCCGGAGGGTCCTCACAGCTGAAGGTCCTGACCCCAGCTCTCCCCCTCTGAGCCAAAAGGGGCCAGGTCAGAGCCCAGGAAAAATCTGGGAAGTGGGATGGAGTCACCAGAACCCCCAGACCACTTTTGGGCTGTTTGGAGAGGTTCTTGAAAAGAGTCACGGCATGAGTTTCAAAAAAAACCCCACAACCCTTATGGAAAACAACGGGGTGAGAAGAAGACAAGCTGGGGCCAGCACTGCCTGAGACATCCCAGTGCCACCCCTGTATTGTATTTTCTTCCTCCAGCCAGGTCTTATAAGCTCTTGGAGGAACATATAGTACACCCAAGATGGATCAGCTGCTTTTGGGGGCATAAAATAAGCAGGATGGTTTCTGCTGCAGTGTTGGAAACAAAAGGGTTTAATAAAAGGCAAAACAACAAACAGAAAAACCCGAGCCAGGTGCAGAGGTCTGTTCCTGGTAAAAACTCCTCTCAGAAGCCCCCAGTTCTTTTGTCCTCTTCTTTTTCTACCCAATTAGTCAAGCAAAACATTTTAGCTTCTATCCAATTAGCTGCCTTTAAGTTTGAAGTCCCTGAAGTCCTGTGAAGTGGCTTTTTACCCTAATCGATGAAACTTCCGAACTTCTTTCCTTTTTTGAGAGACAAAAGATAGTTGTGTCACTCTGTCAACAAAAACCACACTCCTACACCCCTACACCTCACAGCAGCACAGCCCTGGGAGCCACCAGCACCTCTGCATTCCTGCTGCCTTACCCCAGGCTCCCAAAATTCCCTCCAACCGTGTCGGGTCCGTGCCCGGAGCGTGCTGCTGGGCACTCACAGAGCCCTTACGAGCACTGAGCGTCCCTGGGGCTCCCTTTGCCAGGGATGGGGCAGCAGCACAGGAGCCAAACACCTCCTGGCCCAGCCAGGGCTCCGCAGCCCACAGGAACATCCCGGGGACCATCAGGATCATCCATCAGCTCCTTGCTGCTGATGCAGAGTGGGACCTGTTGCAGGCACGATGTTCTGCAGAGTCCGAGCAGGGAGAAGAGGGTCGGCATGACCTGGGAAAAGCTAATTAATCGCCTCGCTGAGCAGAGCAGCGCTGCTCAGAGCAGCCACACGCCACTCGTGGCAGCTTCGGACCCAAGGCAGAGCTTTTTTCTGAAACCTCGGGGTTTATTTATGAAATCGCAGCCTCAATCAGAGGAGAGGAGTGTATCCCTCCAGGAGAAACCGAGCCGGGAGTGACACTGAGGAAAACACAGCTGATATCAAGGTAGCACCTTTGGCTCATCAAGGTTTCTGTCTCCACCTCCACCCGAGCTGCCCCGAGATGTAAATCAGGTGCAAAAGCCACCGTGGCTCTCCAGGCTCCTCTCACCCCCTGCCTGTGTGCCTGCAGCGCCCGGGTCTGGAAGTAAACAGGCTGTTCCAGCTCCGTTGGCATTTCCAGAAAGGTTAACGCAGCATGAGAGGGGCTGGAAAGGCTCCCGGCAACGCGCCGGGGAACCGGGGCTCCCTGCCTGGCAGGTGACCTCCCCGGTCACCCCCGGAGGGCTGGCGTCGAGCTTTGATATTTCCAGGCTTTGTGCTGCTAAAGCTTGCTTCTCCCACCCCCCCGTTCCCCCAGCAGCATTCCCGCCTCGGAAAAATCAATGGGAGTTTCAAGCTGGGAG